TGGAATCGGAAAAGATAAAATTTTATATTCAGCTCGCAAAGTTTTGAGATCATAATCACTTTTCCAAAAAAACATAGGTTAAATGGGCAGACGTGCCATATAAAAATTGTTTGCGAATACTTCGGAAATTGTCATATAAGGCGTCTACTGTTCTATCGGCCATTATTTTGCTGGTAAAATTTTACTTAATAAAAAATTCAGACTCACAAATCTCTTGATCATCAATTAGAAGGATTCACTTCTTGAGTCCCCTTCTATGTAAAATACAAAAAGTAATAAATCTTGGTAACAAGGAGGAGGTGTCAATCGCTATAAGGCGGGCCCGGCTCGGATAACTGATGAAAAATAACCCGTGCATCAGGAATATTCGAGGACTGTTTCGAATTTTTTTATGGATGCCTAAGATGAACTAAAACTAATTACTGCTACAGTGCGTAACACTTCATTAATAACTCAGCTCAGCTTTTTCGCAATTTTGCATACGTAACCTGAGAAGTAATCAAAAAATACGTCGACACAATCTCCTGATCAAGGCTATACAACACTGACCCGTTTTCGGAATTCTATGGAAATTTTAATGTTAAAAACATAAGCGAACGATTCCAACTAAACAATTTCGATGTTTTTGCTGTAGTAACGACGAGTCAACGAAACCATCACAGTTTGAAGTACAAATCTCTGGTACTGTTAGTACAGCACTCCGCTCCGTAAAACATTTGCAGATTTATTTTTACACAAATTTTGGTAATCAAAAGCTAATTTTACAGTTTTTATATCTAGAAATAACGGACTAATAATCTATCATCCATTTGTAGATTTTCTTCTTACATCAAGCATAAACCTCCTTAGTATTGAGAATAACTAGTTTTGTTAGCTGCTTTTTTAAGAGAATAAATGTATGAATAAATGCTTTCAGAAATCATTTCAAATGAAAATTCACTTTACTATCTTTAGTTTTATAACTCTGCATATATTAGTATTACTGGGAAATGTCATAAAGTTAAGTTCTCTACCTTAAAATAGGCGGTACGTTCGCAGAAGTATGTTTAATTTTGAAAGAGTTTTCTAATTAGTGACTTAAAAGTTTGGCACCTCCAAAAACATTAATAGAAAAATTAAAGTTTAATGAAATTTAAATGAAACGCAACGTCTCCGATGCGTTATCGCTTAAGAGTGAGAGTTCAAAAAAAAAAAAAAATTTCGATTCTTGTTAAAATATGATTAAATGTTAGGTAAATTTCGAAACACATTTTGAAAATATTTGCCTGCGCGATAATAAATTTTTGAAGTAAATAATCTAAGGCATATGCACATTTTATTATTTAACAATACGTTATAAAATCTACAAAACCTTTTTGGAAAACGAAAATTCTCAACTACATGAATAGTTTCTCACTTGATTGAGGTATGAGTAATATTTGCGCAACTCACCTTTACATTTATTGATAAATTACTGGCACACCAGGCGTATGAGTAACGAAAAGATTACTATTTATGGAAGAAAACTGACATTTTCTGTATTAAATAAGCGTCTGTTCCTGGATATTTGCAGGAGACCCGCTTAAAAATATCTTTTCCAGGTTGATTATTTTATTATCCGGATTTTTCGCTTACATTTTATGTCTTTAATTATCTAAAATCATTTATTTAAGAAACATTAATACATGATGGCACTATGTGGCATCATTTCTAATTCTATTGTAAAAGCGAAGCATAATAGTATTACGAGTATAATGAAATCAGATGCTTTCCCTATGCCGAAAAAGCGTTTGGTAACTCAATTAGTTGATGAGACTCCAATATTATATTTTTATATAAAAAAAAAAAAAAAAAAATCCAAAAAGTTTTCTTTCTATATAGAAAACTCTTGCTATTCACTGCCCATTTTACTATTTATGACTATCACTTAGGAAATATGTCTTTCCGACGTCACTTAGGATGTTTACTTGGTAATGGGTTTTAATACTACTTTACTCAGTCATGTCGAATAGATGGAATGAGTGTTATATAAATAAAGTCTTACCAAGTCCACATGTCTGGTTTCTTACCTATTACAGCCTTTGTGATTGCGTTAAATCAATCGAGAAAGAATTTAACATTTTACTTTGCGTAAACCGAGGACAACCAGGACAACCGAGTACGGCCAAAATTTTTTAATAACTTTTATTTGTATGAAAAGACACTTGAACAACTATTTTATACCCAGTTTAAGTTTTCCGGAAGTCGATTTTTTCTATCAAAAGGGGTCATAAATGTGATAAGGGGATAAAAATAAAAATAAGCAGATGATATTTTGCACAGATAGCCCTCGAAGGATTGGCAGTCCAAAGTTAAAAAAACAGTTGCGTTGCACCCATCTACGCACCCATGATAGAATGGAAATTGAGACAATTTTGAAAACCATTGACAATTGCTTCATATTTTTGTCTAACTTTCGATCCCATGGAGATATTCCGGAAAACCTACTATCAAGACAAGACAAGACTGACTTCCACAGCAATCTTGTTGATCGATTGAATTTAATGTACCCGGTTCTGTTTCCAGGTGCTGGTCCATTAATCTCTATTAATTATAACCCTTTTCGTTTGTTATGTAAAAACAATTTTTAACCCTTTCAGGACTTTAGTCATATATATTGAACGTTTAGCTTTCTTTTTTTTTTTTAAATTATTTATTTACAATAAAAATTATAAGCTAAAAAAGATAGTCGAGGTGGGGAAGGAGCGTAAAAGGCTTTGAGCCTTTTACAAATTAAATCCTATTGTTAATTATATAAGTGGATTTTCAAGGGTGTGTAAGCATAGGAGATTTACAAAATTTAAATACAAGTATTAAAAGTTTAAATTGTTTTAAATTGTTTAAAACATTGGGGATAAAATTTAATTTATTGCTATCAAGGACACCTCATAATTACTACCGTTATAACGAAACGAAAAAAAAAGGTTAAAATAAAATTTCTCAGCAAGAGAAATACAATTTTCCTGGTTTGTCCATCTTGTCTTGATAATGGTGTTTGCCGTATGCACTCAAGAAAATGAAGAATGCACGTAAGAAAAAATGTTCCTAAAGAGATGAGTTTGAAATATAATTTTAGTTTGCGACATAAGTTAATTCGCCCCAATGATCATGGAAATAAGCAAAGTGTGTATTACTTTTTTTAAACTTCTAATGATAAAGAATATTTAGCGGGAAGGAGTGTGCATTACATGTAATGGGCTAAGCTTCTTTTTGATTTATGAGAAAAACTCTGTGTTAACTAAATCCAATTCAAATTTATATTAAGTTAGATAAGTAAGTATCTTTTTTGATAATTTCCTTTCAATTTACTAACTTCAAGTCAAGCGTGGAGTTTAGTTGGTTTCCACTCAATTTTTCATATTAAGAAAACAAAATACAGAAAAGTTAATGCTATGAGATCGAGGCAGCTACAGAAAGCTATAACAAACAAGTAAGTTTCGGTTGTGACCGAATATTTTATACCCATCACCGTGATCGTAAAAAAGAAAAAAGGAAGGAACTACATTGGCATACTCTGTTGGGTGGATGCGGTTGATTTTTTCTATTTCCAATATATGTGAGTAACAACCAAAAAAAAAGAAAAAAAAAACGTAGAAATAAAATGTTCGCCCTTATCAGGCGGACAGGCAGACAGGCGGACAGGCCGATAGACGGACAGGCGATCATACTTGATTATATATTTTTTTTTTTTTGAGTCTCCGAAGCTTGTTTCTGGGCATTGTAAGCTTTTTAACAAAATGAATACATCCCTCCCCCCATCTTTCGGTAATGGGTATAAAAATCACAAAAGTCATAGCAACTTAGTAAATTTTATATACAAAACGAACTTTACTTTACTTGGGATTTTTTTATATTTTTTTTTTTGTTTTCTCAAACATGAAGTTTCAATATTAATAATATTCGAAATGCTGAACAAACAATGTAGTAAAAATTTCCCATCGGTCTGCTCTACTGCTACTTGCTATATCTCGATATTGCGAGAATAGAAAGAAATCTATAGCAACAACAAGAGCACAATAATAAAATATATTTAAGTGATTATGTATTTTTTCAAGTATATTTAATTCATTCCTATTTAATTTCACTTACTTCATTTATTCAGTGAGACAAACAAAAAAAAAAAAAGAATAAAAAATAAAGAAATTAAATGAATACTTTTATTACTACTACTACTACTATTGCTACAACTAATTGCATAGCTTTGAAAACGAACGGTAAAGTAAAAATTAATTAACAAAAAAATTGTTTTTCTCTTCTTTCGTTTTTGTATTTTTTTCTCTATTCCACTATTTTACAATTTCGGTTTCCGTTTACACATATTGATACTTTTGACCATATTCCGCGTCCATGTTTCCCTCGTCTTCTAAACCTTTCTCTTTGTTTTTTTTTTTTTTTTTTTTTTTTTTTTCCTTATAACAATGATTATTGCTGTGGACATAAATGAACTGGAAAACCTAATGGATATCCAACTATCTTACATTTCTTTCTCCGTATCTTTTTCTGTTATCGTTCATATACATACGAACATGTATATAATTACCGTAAACCAATTTAAATGCAAATTTCGAATTAAACTTAAAACAAAAACAATAAAAAAAAAAATAAAACAAACCAAAAATAAAAAAAAAAATAAAAAAATTAACACAATGATTTACACTTGGACACGTTTTTATTTAAAAAAAAAAAATAAAAAAATAAAAAACATAAACAAACTTGCTGCAATAACAACAACTGTTAACCAATGGTTTTTTAAAAAACTAAACCCACACACACACACACACACATGTCTGCCTGCTCCTATGAAACCTAATAACGTACGCAATTACGTGAAACCTGCTGACGACAACGATAATGATGACGACGATGACGATGACGATGACGATGCCAACTGTAACTTTACTTTGCAATGACTTTTATGGATTTCCTGGTCATCGTACACACATCCATACACGTGCGGTTCTTATGCCCGGTTAACACAAAAGGTGGTCAGGATGTAGAAGTTGACCTCTCAACGGATATAATCAAGCAACATTTTCAGGCAAGTCTTTAAGCAAAATCTAAAACAATAACGAAACAATGTTTTTTCCCCTCTTTGTTTTTTTTTTTTTTGTTTTACATTTTAAAAACTTTCAACATTCATGTTGTGTATATGTGTGTGTGTGTGTTTGTTATCTTTTGCATACAAATACACATACACAATAACGTTGGATATGTTGGATAATTTCTTATGTAATCTACATGTGTACGTAGATGTATATACATTTGAGAATAATTACCTCTTAACTGATTGAATCCATTCATTTGCAAAGTTATATACAAAAAAAAAAAAAAAAAAAAAAAAAAAAAAAAAAAACACAAAATTTTTTTTATATATGCATAGTCTCGTACTATATATCTAGTATTTGTTCATTTTTGCAGAGTACCTGCCATACAGCATTGGATACTTGTCGTGAAGATCCGTCCTGTTTATCGTCCTTGCAACCCATGCTAATGCATTGTGAGATGCATCGTTGTAATCGCAATGCATGCATGACTTCATTGCAGTCATTTTACAAAGGTCCTCATGAGGACTTGAATTTGGATGTGGCCTTTTGCCTTTGCAAGTAAGTGCCGTAGTAAACACAACACAACATCAACAAATCAAATGTGAAATAATCATGCACATGCATAGGCACAGGCACAGGAACAGGCACAGGCATAGGCACATGCACATGCACATGCACATTTGCAATTGCAAACAAATATAAAACCATAAATAACAGCATCGTCATCATCTTGCAAACACAAAATGATTTCATATCACTTTTTCTGGTACTGATTTACTTTTACATTCACCTGGTTTGCAAAGCGCCCAACAACAACAATAATAACAATAACAATAACAACAACATCAACAACAGATAAGAAAGCAAACAAAGGAAATAACCGACCGTTTATTGTGCACGGACATGTAATTACTGTGTGTGTGTTTATGAGTTGTCTGAGTGCGTGTACGTGTGCGTTTGTTTTCATTTGCACAAACACACTGTATCTAGTAAATAGTTTTCTAATTGTTTTGCGGTTTGTTCTTTCATTTTTTTTTTTTTTTTTTTTTTGTATTATTTTCTTCTTCTATTTTTCGAACCATTCTTGCCGGTCGCATTTGGATATGTTCGTGTTTTATATGAAGAAAAACAACAAATCGCCATGATGCTTGCATGATTGCTCAGGAAAAATTACATCCGATTTGCGCACAGAGGCCACCGGATAATAACAATCAACAAAGCTATACACCGCCACCATCATGCCATGCTGTGGCCGATGCTTGCAAAGAGGATCGCGAATGCCGGTAGGTAGTTATTGCTAATGTATTATTACGTATTATGAATCCTTTTCTATTTATGCAGAGATATGCTAATCCTATTCTCATTTTTGTAACAAAACTATATTGTCCATCGATTAGACTATAGAATCTATTCATTCCCGATAATCGTAAGATTTGTTTTTTTTTTTTTTCTCTTTGTCAATCAATATAAACAAAAATTTATCTTTTAACTCGTCCGTGTATCGATTGTTAAAATTTAGAGAATCTAGAAATTATTGAACTTTCATCTATAGCTTCAATTCAATTTCGTATAGACTCTAATAGAGAAATTTACTAATGGTAATTAGTTAAGCTCAATATTTCCTCAAATTTGCTTACGCAGGTATGCGGTGGAGAACTTTTGCAAATCCTCGATAAATAAATGCGTATTTATTGAATCTATCACTATTAAAATATCGAAAGAACAAAATTAAAGTTTTAAAATACTTTCATCGGTAAGTCAGGGCCGGGGACGCATGATACCTAATTCATCTTAAGTTTCGACCGCGCATCTAACCTTTGGTTTTCTGATACAAATGTGTCATGGAATGCCACAGAAAGAGGGAAGAGCACGTTCACTCTTCTTGTTAATCTCGTCATCACTTCTTTTTCCAAAACAGTCTGGCGATACTTAACCATCTTTCAATTCTTTGACCACTATCTCGAATGTATGCGTGAAGCTTGCTGTTCACCTACTAACAATTTATTGATTGTCACCCTCCAGCCTTATCTATGTGCATATAGCACTCTAATGTTCATCGTAAAACATCCACACACACACACACACACACACACACAATGCGAAATGTGCTTTTTAATAAAGAAACTTAAACCTCATGTATGGTAATAATCAGTAGCTATCACCCTCCCCGTCAGCAATAAAAGTAGGACTATTTCACTGAGCTATCCACAGGCAAGCATCGACAACTGGCTTGTAAGACTTGATCCCATTTAAATCTCATGTATACTACTTAACCATTCGTCCTCTCCTTTCATTATTAATCATATATTTACGACACTGAGATATTCGAAGAGAAGCATTAAAAGCCTCAGCGTAAGACTTTGTCGTCTGTTTGTAACTCATCTATCATGCTAACCAATAACCCACTTTAACCACCCCTCAATAGAGAAGATTAGCACTAATTTGCCGACACGAAAGCATTCCGATTATGAAACTATAGCTACTAGTACTTTCTTTTCATCGTTAAATGTAATAGCATAGCATCGAGGTAAGCGTCTAAAATGAATGTTTTATTACAAGAGAAGAAGACATTCCGAATAGAGATAATAAAGTGGGTGATAATTGAAAAAATTGTAATATCGAACGTTTCTACCCAATTTGCTGATCATCAACCTTGTTTTTTTTTGCTTAGTGAGCACAGTTCAAAAGAAATCTGAAATAACAAAGTCGTTCAGAGCTACTATAATCGATGAATCGTTACTAAATGCTTCACACTTTTCATATTGACATGCATTGCTTAATGAAAGCAAACGAAAGCGCGCTTAGATAGAAAAGAAAGCGATTAAGTATCCGATTATAATAAAATGAAACTATTTTAACAAGGAAAATGCTTCAATAGGAAATTTAAAAATAAAAAAAGCAATGTCAAGACAAAAACCTACGAAAAGCTATATAGAATATTGTTAGGAAAATCCCAAATCCAGTTAATTTCAGCTAAGTAATTTTCCGTAATAATAAATTCCCTAAAGAAGGAAAAACCAAATGAGCATTCGCATGCGCGTCATGCAGCTGCAGGCCGATGAAAACGATTAAAGGAAAAGCAGGCTGGGATTAGAAATAAAATCATAAATTTAGGTATAGAATTTGTAGCAAGGGTTTGGGCCACGGTGGCCCAAGCCACTTTTAGCGTACTACGCCCCCTGGCGAGTTAGGCAATGCCCACAGAGTAGGCCCAGACCAGAGTCCAAAACGGTTTATTGTGTATGGAACAATAAACCCCACTCTGGTCAGTGGTGAGGCCTAGCTGCACTCAAATCGTTCCACTTTGGCTAGGAACTTGCCGACCACAACCACCACGAGTACTCCCCGAAGGGTCGCACCCAAGCAGTCAGGACTCACAAATTGATCAACGATCAATCGCTTCCGCCATAAGGCTTCCACGGCGCCGTTGATCAATTACCACCATTACCCGCAGGCATCCGTGACATATGTTCAAAAGTAAAAATAAGGCAAAAGGGGAAAAAGTTATAGTCACATGCTTGTAAAAATGTATATAAATAGAATATTTGTGGAAGGGAGAATTAGTCGGGCAAGAACATAGAAGTTGGCCAAAATAAATTGTGAATTATTCTACATTTAAGGAACATAATTGTAAATAAATGATGCTACTGTTAAGGAATATAATAAAAGAACTTTGAAGTAAATTTCTCTTGATCAAAATATCCAGTGATACGAACTGTATCCTAAGAAAAAGCGAATTTCCTAACAATATGTATAGAACAATAGAAAAATAACTCATCTAATAATGATTTAGTTAGCTTAAGCGACATAGTTCCGCGTCACTGCAATGGATTCAATCGCTTCAGTCGTCAATCAGCGCAATTCCTTTTTAATCACAATTATTCATATTATATGTCTATCAGGCTGTATAAATATTGAAATTTAAAACAAATATATATACTCATAAAATTATTTTCTCCTGATCGGTATTTTACACAAAAGTGAACCAAAGATTTATTTGATAAAATAGACGGCACAAAAATTATACTTGCAATGCTTTCAATATGAAATATTTTCATTAAATAAACTTAAGTTTCATATTTACCTTAAGCATGGCTCATAAGGTCAAGAACATACCTGCAAGAAATAGAAAAATAAGATAATAATAATAATAATAATAATAATAAGAACAATATTAACCAAAACATTGATAAGTAACAAAGTTAAGTGTAAAGTTTAAAAGCATTAATGTTTAGATTTCGCCCTGAAACGATACACATATAATGCACATACATGCATGTATGCATGAAAAATAATACATGAGATACCTTCAAGGTATGAAAAACATGTGAACAAGTGTTCATTTATGTGTATGGCGGCGACCATATGACTGCATGCTGTTTTATTGTTACAAAATTTATGATAATATACCCAAGAGGTAGTTGTATCGTATCGTTGCATAATATTAAATATGTTCTCAGTTTTGTGACTGAAACTAAAATTTAATTTCAATGAAACCTTACTACTCTCTCAAGCAAGTGTCAAGAGAAACTTATACTTAACCAGTTGCTAGCTGCTACTAGGCACACGTATATATATATATATATATATATGTATATACAAGGATGCATAGAAGCAATTTTGTAACTTTTGCGAAAAGTGAAAACAGTACTTCATTAGCATTTAACCTGTGTAACCCATACAATAAATAAACTACTGAGTAAATTTTTGTTTAAATATTTTTGACACACAATGTACATAACGTACATAGTTTAATGCATACATAACATATGCGTATGCATATGCATGCACGTTGTAAATGCTTTGAAGTATTTTCATGTTTAATATCGTATACTCGTAATACTAATTGTGATTGTTTTTGTTATTGTTAATGCTGATGTTGATGTTCTTGTTTTTCTTGTTTTTATTGTTCTTGTTCTTGTTGTTGTTGGCATTTTGCTATTGTTATTAAGTTGTTTTACAGATGAAACGCATATACACATACACATACACATACACATACACACACACACACACACACACACACACACACACACGTATATTTACTTATTTGCTTAGACTTCTTAATTGCTTGTGTTTCCATGTAAACGTCTGTTTACCTAGACGCTTGTATATATATATATATATATATATGAACAAATATCTATGTTTGTATGTATGTATGTATGTACATGTATTTATTTTGAAATCTGAAAATAATTTGTTGTAATTCATTCTAAATCTTATGTATATGCTTAGAATATTTATGGGAATTTCTTATACCTAGCTATAGCTAAGCCAAGTGATTTAAATATTTTCCAAAATATCTAAGATTTACTTTATATAAAATAGATTTTTTTTTTTTCTAAATTACATAACACACATATACATGTTACACTGTCAAAGGTATTGCAATATAATTTACGGTGAATCCCGTACAATTGCAATGCTTAGCAACGCTACTTAATGGCAAGTTTTTTCAATGTGTTAATCTGTTAATCTATTGCAAAGCTCTCCATGTGTTTGTACGTAGCTGTACGGATGCAGGCAAACTTTCATAAATTTACGTATACATTTTAATACAAATTTATTATATACTTAATTAAAGGATTTTATTCTTAAGTATCAACATTCTTTAGCACTTTCATGCAAAAGGTATCGAAGTAAGAAATTTTCTTTCCACTTCTTCTTTCTTTCTTTCTTTCTTTTCTGACTTCGACGCTAGTGCGTATGTTTTTGACTTTATTTGTTAAATTAATTAACAAATTTACCAAAAAACTGTAAAGCATAACGAACTTCAATGAACGCCAGGGAGAAAAAGTTGAAAATTTTATTTTTATATTGCGTCACAAGTGTTCAGACAGACTTTCATATTACCTTTCTGGTAAAGTGCTTCAGAAGAACGAGTTATGGCGCAATTCATTCAAAAAGCTTTTTAACATAAGTCATATGGATTTTGAAAAGAATAGATAAAAACCATAGACGAATTTCGATTTCTTAAAGCATTAAGCAAACACCCGTTGCGGTATAAGGGTATATTAGGTTTGCGCAGATATATACAAGACTTGATAGACTAACCTTTATATTATATCACTTTCTGAAATGATCTAAACTTGTCCGTCCGTCTTGTATTTTCGTGTTCAATATACTGGTTGCAACTTTGGAGATATTCTAATTAATTTTCGTAGGCTGACTTGTTTTGTTCAAGCACTAACACTATTGAAAATGGTTCGCATTTATCCGGACCAGTCCCTTATAACATTGTACAGAGGCATCTATACTTTGAAAATTAGTTATTTGAACGACTTTATTAAGCGAAGTGGTGTAAGATATTAAATGGCGGGCTGTGATTCACTACAATGATTTTATTTATTTTTGAACAACATTAGTGTCAGGAAAATCATGCACGTTTTGGTAGCCAGACTGAGGTTCCCAATAACTAAGCCAATATGGATCGTGTCAACTTTATTCGCTGATTTCAAGGCAACTTCCCTGAAATTGCGTGTTGTGAGTCAATTGTGGTGGCCAATGGCCATTTTAGTCAATTTAAACATTTTTTTTTTCATTAAAAAAACTGGTTATGTCTGAACGTAAAGCCCATTGGGCTTACTTCCAAGATATCGAAAAGTCTTTTGAAATATACTCGTATATCAGGCTGCCGGGCAGTTTCGTAAAGTTGTCTTTCACTATATAGGTCGCCCTATTATGAAAAGAGAAACATATGATCTACCCCTTAGGGGTTTTAAAAAATAATAGAGAATTTTCGAAAAGATAATTGATATGCTACGGGTCAGACAACTTCGGTTGTAATTTACTCAGGAAGTGCTAGCAACAGTTTAAAGTTTCTTTTCCTTATGTTCTTTAAAAACGTCGGCAAAAATTTTATTTACTTTTAGTTTTGCTTTAGCGATCCTTTAATAATGAAGAAAATATCAATTAATTATGAATTTATAATAAAATCTGCATGCTTTGCTTTCATAATTGCAGACTTAAATTGGAATACTATGAGCAAGCGTGTGCCGTAGATAGCGTAACAAAGAAATGCGCTGGACGGCCAAGTGGTTGCCGTACTGCTATGATTGGTATATTGGGCACCATGCTGCGCACTACGTGTGCCTGCCAGGGAACAGATCCTCAACATTTATATCAATGTGTTGGTTGGCGACGTTTATTATGGATGAATCCTTGTGTTGGTAAGTGATTGCAAAGCATAACAACTTACACACACACACACGCACACACACACACACACACATTGCATAAGCTTTAAAATAATGAATTAATGCATTGGCATAAAAAATTATATAAACAGTTGAAGCTCAAAAGGATTTTCATATGAAACGTTTGGCTGAACTGGGCTTTTTAACGACTTCATCAACTAGTACCACAACTACAACAACCACAACAACAACTACTACGATAAGAGCACCACCACCAGCACCGCCCCCACCACCGACAACGTCAACTACAACGACTACGCATCGTATGCCGCCGCCTGTGGTGCCGCCTAATAAAAGTCTCCGTAAACCGCCCGGTCATGTATTTATGGTAAGAGAGCTTTATAAAAACAAAAAAAAATAAAAAAACATTTTTAATAAAAAAATATCTTGATTAAATTTTTTTTTCTTTTAAACCATTTAATGATAAAAAAAAAAAAACTAATTTTCTGTATTTTGTTACAATTTAATCGTTTTTCTGCAATCAAATACATACACATTTACACAAAAATTGCATCAAAAATCGTAAAAAATTCTGTGATTGAAAAACTCAAACTCAAACACACACACAAACACGCACATATCCATGTACTCCAATTTATCTATCTTCGCATTTGTACGTTCGCCTATTTGGACAAAATAACAACGAAAAATACGACAACGATAACAGGCAAAAGAGAAATCGGAGCCAACATCAATGGAACACAATTATATCGAACAGCCACTATATAGCGGAAATGATGAAAACGGAAATAGCGGAAATGACGATTATCACAACAGCAATGCCAACAATGCTATTGCCAATAACAACAATAATAAAGGCAGCAACGGCAATAATAACAGCAACAATAATAATAACAACAAAAACAACAACAATAAAAATAATAATAATGGAATGGGAAGACATACAAAAACTGGTCGTAACGGCAAACATGCTTACAATACGGCAAATGGAGCAGCAGCAACAGCCACTATGGATGCTATCAACGGAAATGCGCCAGGAAATGGTATCAGTATAGCGGGCGGCAATGTTGCCGATGTGAATAGTGATGGCCGGGCAGTGGTTGTCGATTTCGATGATCAACTGATTTATGTCGAACCAATGGATACAACTGAATTTGCGGTAACCGATTCAACAACCATAGCAACCACAACAACAATGACCACAACAACACAAGCACCAAGTAAGTAAAACAAATGCAGGCCTCAAATAGATACGCATTTACATACATTCAAGCTATAATATTCCATATACATATAAAAAATACATATAAAAAATAAGTTAATAAAAAAAAAAAAAAAAAAAAATTTTTCATATATTTACGTTTCAAAAAGTTAAAAATAAAAAAAAAAATAAAAATTCATATTAAATTATATGCACATAAAGAGACTTAAGAGAGGTTTAACTTATGTACGGCTTTATCCGCACCACTCGGAGCTCATAATTAAAAGTTTGCTTTATTAGAAGAGAAGGTATGGTACTAAAGAAAATTTTTGCTTTCAATGAAGCAAAAAAAAAAATAATAAATAAGGTTTTTTTTTTTTTAACTCTTTATTATAATAATTAAAGTTTTAAAACTGACTATGAAATTTTCAGTTTATAAGGTTTAAGCAATTTTTTACCACTTCGTTTGATCGGCCGTAGCCCGTAAGCAAAGTGTAATGATCAGTATCATATACTTATGAAATAGAAGTGTGCACATGGCTAATATCTTCTAAAAGCAAAAACATTCCTTTCAAAACCACTCATCATTTGTTGTAAAATTTTTTGTAAAAGTAATGCGCGGTGAAAATCCTCTTTTCATTCTTTGGGAAAAAACTGAAGAGGGAAGTTCAACTAGCAGAGAGATGCAAACTTGAAGCTAAGCAAAAAATATTCATTGGTTCAAAACCAAGTTAGATATATTTCATCGCTTTATTGAAGAGCTTGGTATCGACATTGGTTTTGAGAAAGACGTCTATCTATCGATCTTTTACGGAAATACCCGAGTTTGGTAATTTAATATAATAAGAGAATCGCAACTAAATTTTTCAGTTATCTAATCAAAGTTAGACACTGTTGGTTAATGGCATAATGCATTATATTAATATAGGCAGAATGTCAGAGTCAAATGGCCGATGGACGTTATAACGGATAAACGCACGTGCAATTGTAAAGCTCGCTAGCTTGGCACTCAGGCTTGGCAGTCAGTTTTTATCCAACAAATACTCCATCGATGGTTACAATCAAGCAGTAAACACGCAGAAACCTTTGTGGAGAGAGACGGACGATCGACTTTCTTTTTGGACAGGATAATGTTCTATCCCGTGCTATTCTACACCCCTGGTCTCCAGACCTGGTCAATAATTTTGTGTGGGAGAACACATAAAGGTTTCATTTATAAAAATTGCGAAAATTCAAACTTTGAGATCTAGCTTTCGACGATAATTTAGGAAAATAAATTTAAAAAAAGTACCCTAGCAGTGAATACGGTATCTCATGTAAAAAAACTAAATACTTGATGATATGCGAGTAAAGGTCGTTTTTAAAGGAAGGGTTTTGAAAAAAAATCAAATTTAAATTTTTAATAGACTTGTATGCAAAAAAGTACAAGTATCACTGAAATCTACACCTTATATGGACTTGTAGGGGGCAACAAAAAAAAAGCGGCTTGACTTACTTCCCTAACCAAGCCTTTCTAGAAAAGCGCACAAGATTTTAGTAAGATCGGCGCATTTCTTGCTGAGAACTTGTGTCAATGGGTTTCAAAAAGAAAGTTTTGTAAAAAAAAACTTGATTTATATTGCAAAACTCCCAGCCGGTCGAGCGGAATGAGCGGAATTTCTAACAGATTTATGTCTTCGGGCTTTACTTCGGTTAGCTTGGAACTTCTTGGCATGTTACGCGGTTATATAAAAAAAAAAAAAAAAACATAAAAGACGGGTTTTGCTGAAAACTTCAAACACGCCCCGCCCACTCGCCAATCACCGCAAAAATACTAAAGAAACTCACTTAATTTTGCTTAACGCTTATACTCGACCCTTTTCGAACACGGCAACTGTGCTTCGAAAACTGTGCAAAAAGAATCGTGCAAAAAAGGACACAACACAAAATAAATAGTAAATAATGACATCGTGGGTTCAAGTTCAATTGGAACGCGAAAAAGTAAAGTAAAAAGTGATCACAAAATTTGAGCATTCGGCGTCGTAGACGAAGTCACTAACAAGGACAAAATTAAAATGAAGGGAAAATATTTTTTTGGTTTCACGATAAAACACAAAATTTCGTGTAAAAATAGTGTTTTTGTTCTAACTTTTGAACCGTGTTTTGCCAAAATCGGATAGAAGGAGGCCGTGTAATAAAAGAGTTGGATGTATTTGTTGGCGTAATTTGTCACCGAAACATTATTCATTATTCTAGAAAAGTGTAATAGTATAGTACGTTGGTCGGCAAGTTTAGAATAATAATTTTAATAGTGAACCTTGGAACTTTGAACTTTTTCGTAAATCTTCGGCCGACAAACTCTTCATAAGTCTCTTTTACACTTTCACTAAATTAAATATGGGCTAAATAAGACGTGCCTGTGCAGAGCCTTAGCGAAAAAAAATTGAAGTCGAAAATTGTTGTCCCGACGAGCTGTCACTTCCTTTGTCTATTTGATTTCTTGCGGAGAAACTTTCGCATAAACATCGATATCAAATTGAAGATTAGAAAACTGTTCTAATCTGTTCATAAGGTACCAAAGAGATTCAAATTTGTGTAGTAAATATGTAGTCGTAAGTCAATCAAATTGAATTTAAACTAAGTTTCTTCTCATTTCATCTCTATATACTGGACAAGCATTGAGTATCAGATTCTCCGACTTAGGGCATTTGTCTTAAAATCATATTGGAGTCAAATTTGTCTCTATCGTCCTTTTTATGCCCACTTCCAATTCAGCTGCAGATCAATTTCACGTAACCCCCTCCGCATTCTGCATTGATTTCGTCAATATTTAAAATGAAATAACATGCATGCATCTTTTTTAATATTTATATTTTTTTACGTCCGTTTTATATATAAAAAAAAAAAAAAAAAATTGAAAAAAAATCTTGCAAATATTTTTAAGGCAATTTTATCAGTACGGTCGAAATGAACCTTAAGTTTAAAATCCAATAAAAGAAAAATAAATTATATTTATTGACTTCTCTACGGTTTTGTTATCCTCGCAACAATAACAACCACATTTTCATATGCGAGCAAACGAGCAAACATTTTTCATTTTTATTTCACATTTATTCTCACATTATGTAGGCGATTAAGAAAAACGCACGACCGTAAACGTCTGGTTGGACTTGTCAACTGGTATTAAAAAAAAGAGAGAAAAAAAAAAAAGAAAAATGCTGGGCTGAATAAAATAAAATGATTGCATTCCATTTGTAGATTATACATCAACTCTATTGCAAGTGTAAACTACGATGGCTGGAGAGAAGAAACAGCCAGAAGTGATGCAACAATTATAGCATAACACATCCACGCAGTAGTAAAATATGTATATATGTATATATGTATATACAAAAAAAAAAAAAAATGAAGACCTAGATCGTCTACAACCAAAACGATATACAAAATATTTACTACGTATAAATGTGTAACTGTGTGTAAGCGGGTATAATATAACAACTACGTTGATGGCATGATGAATGTCTCGACATGAGTAGCGGACATCCGTATGCCGTTTAACATTGATGTTGTTTGGCTTGGGCGTCATGTTTCATCGTTTTTATGTTTTTGTTGTTCATTTTTGTTTATTTATTTACTTTTTTTTTTTTTTTCTTTTCTGTGCACACGTCACCTATAGCTTAAAAGACATATCAAATTTTGCGATCAAGTTTGCAACCAATCTATCATAGAATTCATTGTTGATTCTTAGGAGTTAATTTCATCATAAAATTTTTCCCCCATGCCAGGGGATTAATTAAAATTGCAAGAAACGCGTTTAATATTTCGAATAAAGTTTAAGAAGACATATGATCTCTTTCAGTAAGTGCTCTCAATAAGTGGGAGCGTAAAGATGTCATAATTGTTATCATATTGAAGTTCCGTTGCTCGCGTATTCGACCATTCGAGCAGAGACAGAATATTAGAATTTCATATATAAAGTCGAATTTTAAACTTGATTTGTGACTTTAAGTACGCGTGGGCAAGACAGGTCTTACGAAGCAGACATTCGCTTGTAATCGGATCCGAAAATCGAAAAATCTTTTAAAAATTTTCTTTCGGTAGCAAGTATCTACAATTCGCCGCCACAAGGCAAATAAATAAATTTTGTTACTCACATCTTTTTCACCAGACATTTATACTCGACTAACCATAAACATGAACATAAAGTATCCATATATTCGCATATATATTCTGGCAGACATACTTGGTTGGTATTTGTTGGATGAACAAGTAAAGTATTGCTTTAACAAACATGATGCACTTGCACACAATCACTTATGTTTCTCACTCTTTGGTGAATGAAACATTAATACAGAAGAGCAATTTATATGAAACCTGCAGACTAGCATCACTCGATGCAACCGAAACACGTAAATGCATGAAAATATTTCATATATGTGTTTACAACATTCCGCATATTTTATAGCCTTCTGAACTGTTTATCAACTTAAATTTTAGTTTTATTTTTTTTTATTTTTTTATTTTTTATTTTTTTTACCATCAATTTTATTAGACTTTATTCATTTTAACAGCTTTAACATGAAAATCCGATGGCAAAGACCAAATTGTCAGACAGTATAGCTAATGATCCTACCTACCGGCACTTGCATGTCTATTTGTAACGAACTATTTGTAGTTCGCTTCCGCGTAAACAATAACTAATGCTGACCAAGCAAATGAAGTCAATAAGTTTTTTTTATCAATTATTTATAATATTAATCTATAATTAATAATCTGTATAATGATGAAATTTTATTGAAAACGTTTTCAAAAAACAAAAAAAAACAATTTCTTTTCTTTTTATAGGAAATTGCGTGGTTCAAAGACCGCATCAATCGGATCAATTGATTAGGGAAGGAACCAGTAAAAGGGTAAGTTTGTGCATTACTATCCCTCTATTTCTCGCTCTGTTACGTACTTGCAATGCACTGAAGTGCCGTAGACGTTGATCATTCACTAAGCAATGTTGTATTGTTTGAAACTGTAGACCAACACAAATAGTGATTTTAACTGCGCCACAAACATATATAATAATAACGGAATAAACTCATTTGTGAAACACACATATTATTAGGTTAACATAATCTTTTATTGTTAAAGGATTACTGTTTCCTCAAAATAACTTTTCAACGACAAAAGTCGAAATACAAAGGGCCTTAAAATATACTTAACTTAAATAGAGGTTTAGTTGGAATCATCGCGTATGCTTTTAAATCGCGTTAACTGTGCTAATAATTTTATATTATTTAAAAAATAGGCACAAAAACTCTACACTCGTTTTGAATGTCGTGCAACAGTTACTAGGACGGACACATCCGCCGAAATTTACCGTAGACCTCTTCATTTAGACAATTTATGTATTAGTGCTTGCATTGCATCCAAAATATCTTTGGGTAAATTATCATTTCTTTGAGGATATTTCAGCGTTTTTTCGATGGATATCCCATTGGAACCTGTTCTATGAAATTGCACCAAAAATTTATAAGCGACATTTTTCCCTACTATGTCAGTACGTAGTTGCGCAGACAGACAGATCGACAGACGAACAGACGGACAGACGCACATGTTGAGATGCATTTCAACTTTGAAACTGGTTAAGAATTCATATACTTTCATGGCTTGTCTCTGCGCCTTACAAAAGTATTGAAAAAAAATTAAACTATAGATAACATTGTATAGGCGTGGTAAATTTTTTCTATTATATTGTACAAGTACTACTGCTGCTAACTCGGCGACGAGTTTCTGAGGGATGGTGGAGGGGTTGGCTGGAAGAAGAGCTCTTACTCAATAGCTAGTTACTACCGAGGAAATATATTGAATGGTATTTAAGTACGATGAAGGTAGTAATCTAGCGAGTGCATGGTAGAGTGTTCAGTGCAATACCCGAGACCTATATATCTTGAAGAAAAGTAGTTCACTGGTGCTGGCAACCAGGAAAGTATGGAGAATTCGAAGCAAGTACGGTTGTTTTAACAACCGCCCAAAGTATGCCAAAGGCTTTGCAAAACAAACTGGGAGCCACGGGGGTCAGGAAGCTCGCCTCACAAAGCCACGTATGCCTGCGGGTATATGATGGACTTTGTCCTTAAGTCGTAATAAATAAATAAATTAATTATACTATTAATGCAAAAAGGAATTGACGGACGGCCTCCCCTTTGGCCGATTGATAGAAGATGTCTGGTAAATTAATTAATACATGCAAAAATGGAAAAGGGATATGACGAATAAGTTTTCCCCTTTTACTTATTTTTACTTTTGAACACATGTCACGGATGCCTGCGGGTAATGGTGGTAATTGATCAACAGCACAGTGGAAGCCTTATGGCGGAAGCAGTCAGTTGATCTGTTTCTGGACTCTGGTGCTGTTTAGGCCCCTACTCTGTGGGGATTGTCTAACTCGCCAGGGGGCGTAGTACGCTTAAAAAGTGGTTTGGGCCACCGTGGGGTTAAGCCTTACAGGCAGGAACCCACGTTAAACCCTTGCCACAAATTCTGTACAAGTACTACATTATCGCCAATAGAATATGCGTTCAAATTTTTCTACATTTATCTGCTATAGTTTTTTATTCCTTTCTAAAAAACAGAGATGTTCTCAGTTTAAATGATGCTGTGAGCTTGTCTTTCGACAAATTTGATCCATTTTCGATACCAATCTGCATGCAAAAAACTTCCAATATTTCTGCCAAATTTAAAGTCGATAGCTTCATTTTTGTGGCCAGAAGAATGTTACAACGGACAATACACAGACGGGCGGCCATGTCTTAATCAATGCAGAATTTCACGTTGATCAGGAATATATATATATACTTTATAGGGTCTTTAAAGCTTTCATTTGGGCGTTACATACATTATGAAAGCTAAGTATACCCCCATCCTTCAGTGGTAGGCATAAAAAAGAACACAAAGGCTAATGTGACTAAAGTGGGGAAAGTTGGATGGGATTGAAATTGAAATTTGAGAATACTTTTAGCAACAAGCTGCTTATTCGACCCGGACTGACTAATATTTTTCCAAAGTGCCTAGCTATTAATCAAAAAAATTAGTCAATCGCAGAAAGTAATTTATAGAGTAGAATCCGTCACGACGTCCTATCCTTTCATTACAATGCCGTTGATATGGGAATCAAATGAAAGGAGTTGGAGAGTAGTAAGCGATAAGGAGGGTTACTTATAATTTATTTATAGGAGACGTTTAATACATAAAGTATTAGGGCGTTTCAAAAGATCGATTTCTTGGACATTAAATGCACCAAGCGTTTATGGGGTGGATATGCAAGATCCGACTTGTTTTATTTTATTACTATAATTGTAATCTGAGATACGCATTATATCCTAGATAGTGATAGGGATATTATTTGTGATCCTCAAGTTATATCTTATCTGTTCATCTATTCGACACTCATACAAGGCTTGGTAGTACACAAGTGCAAAACCGAAATAAATTAATAGTAAAATAGAAGGAAAATAACAAGTAAGACTAAAAAATGATGCCTTAAATTTTCAACAAATAAATCTACTACAACGACATACTAGTTGATATTAAATAATTTCACTCTACAGTGCAGAATTATTGTATTTAATCCATCATAAAATTTTGATTCGCATATAATCCTCTTTTCTCTTTATTTATTTATTTTTTTTTTTTTTGTTGTTGTTGTTGTTATTTACATTAACTAGGAGAATTAGACAAGAATGATAAATGGAAAAAAAAAAAAAATGATAAGAGGAATAGAAAGTCATAAGCGAAAGCCAAATAACAAAGGATTAGTATTGTTATAATTTTTATAAAACATAAATACCATACCGTTACCATTCGCGATCTGCGTTAAATGCAAGAATTAGAGTAAAATTATTTTAAATGCAACATATTAACAGCAACTGGAAAATTGTTGTAAATAAGAAAAAAAAAAGCAAATAAATATGCACAAAAGCATTTAAAAACGGAAAAGGAAACTCACTAAACACATAAAGATTTTTTCAAAAGGGAGGAGGAGAACTAAATAAACCGAACAAGTCTCACTAAGTAGCTTAGAAGAGCAACAAAGGCAACAAACAATAACAACAACAACAAATAACAACAAAATAAAAACCGTAAAGGATATTAAAATGAATGCGAGCATACACACGCATACGTAAACATACGAGAAGAGAGAAAATACTTACTTAAAAAAGTTATTAAAGCAAGCATTTACTTATGGTAAAATGAAACGAAACAAAAAAAAAAAAACAAAAAAAAAACTCAAAATAAATACACAAAATAGATGATATACATGAAACAAATAAAGAGACTTAAGACCGTAAAGATTAAAAAAGTAAAGAATACAATAAAATGTTCTCTTAAAAAAAAAAAAGCAAAAGGAAAAACAACCAACAATTAGGCAAACATTATTTGTCTTAAGACAAATCTTAAATATCCACTACTACTAAGTAAACCATGAAAATCAAGAGATTCAAGACTTTGGTAACCAAATAATGGGCCAATAAACTTATCTTAACTTTTGCTTTTATCTCCGAACCACAAAAGAATAATAACAAATAAATCTTAGATTTATTACTGTAGACGTTTAATACGATTTTTTTTTTTTTGTTTTTTTCTGATCATTCGTTCGATCATTATTTTTTTTTTTTTTTTTCTTATCATTTGTTCATAAGACAATAGGGCAAAGAACAGAGATTTTGAAAACTCGGAACTTTTTTATTTAAAGGACGGACGGACGGACGGACGGGCGGACGGACGTTCAGAAGCAAATGTTCCATGGTATTTAGCTTGCATTTTTGTTTGTTTGTATTTGCTGTAAGTAAACATTGTTTGTCAATTCAAGTTATTATCAAGTCAGAGATTCTTACTGGTAAAGCAATGCATCGCAGTATGCGAGATAATCTATTCAATTGTCATCTTTTCGTAAGCTAATGACAAATACTTGCAACATTTCCTATTACAAATAATCTATTATCATAGCATCCTGTGAAAAATTTCGTTACTTCATTATTGTGAATGTGTTGTTCGACCTGCAAGATTCATATGCGAAATTAAACCGAATCAATTTTAAATTCGTATTCGGATAAGAGGTTATTGGCGCAAAGAATTCGATATAACTAAATAGATAACTAATTCTGTAAGTAAGTCTCGCCAATAACGATAAAGAGAAAAAGAGACTTGTGAGGGTTGTGTATGTAGGAGGCACATAAATAAGTAAAGTCTTAAGATCACAGCATCAAAGCAGGCATTTTACGTTTTGTGCTACGCATGGAATAAAGATTTTAGTATACCTCTCACTACTTTGAATGGTTGGTCAACAGATTTGTAAGAGCTTTAATTTTTAATTATAAATACTAGTATACAACAACAAATTTATCGAAAACACTCGAGAAGAGAAAATTAATATTGCATATATATATATATGCGAACCGGAACGATAATGATATGGTGCATAGGAAAAATTCTTCAAAAATTTTTAATCAAAAAAAATGTTTTAAAGCAGAGAGAGAAGTAAAATTCTGTGATTTTTTTCGCATTTTTACTCTTTAATTTTCCTTTTAATTCCTTTTAAGCTTATGCTTTTTTTAAGTGATTTTTCTCTATTAAAAAAAAAAATAAAAAAATGCGTTTATATTCTTTTTATGTATCCTTAAATACAGATTTATTCGTTGGACGATGCTGAATGCAGTGAATTATGCAGTTGTGGCGAATCTCTAACATTAACCTGTCATGCCCTCTGCGTACCTTTTGCACCATGTCGTACGGCTTTGGCATTTTATAGTCATGCCTCGCCCGCATATCAAGCATTTCGTGGACGTTGTCTATGCTATTCTGGACGTTTTATCTGCATGAAACCACCATTGGGCGAATATTCTTTACCAGGTGAGGGAAATGCGAAGCAATGAAATGAATGAACAAAAAAAAAAACAATTTTTTTTTATTTTTTTTTTATGAAATTTTTTACTGGTTTTGTTTTGTTTTTTTTTTTCTTTTCTTGTTTGGATATTTACAAATAACCAGGAATAAATATATTGTCATAACGAATGTTAGAGAATTGTCTGTATGATGACTCTTTCTCTCTTCTCCATTGCGGACATCATTACTGTCAGTACTTATTAAGTACATAAAGCTTACCGAGAATTGCTGTTTATGAATAATTCTTTAAAAAACATAACTTATCTCCTTAGCATAAATAACGAGTAAAACATTTTCCATTATTTTCTATTATTATTTCCGAATAACTGCACGAGTAGTAGCGTTACGTTTGCCTCTCCAAGTAGGAAATGAAAATATTTAGTACACAAATCTCTCAAGCTAGTAAGATTTGAAGAGACATATTATATTTTAATTTGACAACTTGGCTCGACTAGCTGGGGATGGATGAGCAGCGTATATCGCGCTTGTTTGCTTTTCTTTTGATGTAATTAGTTAATAGAAAATTTCTAAAAAAGTTGTCTTACTGCTGTAGTCCTTGAATGAAACGTTTGCAATAGTGGAGAAATGAAATTTTGAATTGAAATTTATTACTGTCGAATCGAAGCCTCAACATCTTTTTTGCATATTTCATCATTTAATATAGTATGTAGAGCAAATTTTATAACCGCATTGTTGGAGAATGAGATTCTTATCTCTAACGAAAATTAATGTCAAATTGCTGCGATATATATATAGAAAAGTAGTAGAGTTGCCATCTATTATTTAGGCTTTAACATGTATATATCTATTACCACAAATCAATTCTCTGATTTTTGGCTTTTACCCCCTTTGTTCTTAACAGTAATGCTCCCCCGAAAGTGGGGTGCAATCCGTTCAGCAAGTACAACAAAAAAGAAGAAAATAATAATAATTGCAGTGTAAGCACAGTAGTCAACGAGTCCAAGCCGGCGTCTAATACTTTTCTCTTCCGAGTTAACTCTGATGTCGATCTCTTATTTGTTTCAAAAGGGTTTAGGTTTCATCACTACTCGCTTGAATTTAGTCGTACTATTAGCGAAGAAAGCTTTTCCGAAGCACTTTTCAGAACATTTTCAGAGGTATCGACAAAGGAAAAGCCATATAGAAGATTGCCGTTCGTACGGAAAATGTAAACTTAACTAAAAAAAGCCATGAATTTCCTTTAATGTGTCCGTACGTCTTCATCGCCATTGTCTGTTGACTGCAAACCATATTACAGACAATATGGCAGAGCGTGTACCCTTTAATGCAGTTTTTCAGTCGCTGCTGGCAATAACTTAATCAATGTTAGACAATGTCGCAGATGCTCTATAGTTGGTTTGTAATGTCAAGACTGAAAGCATCATTTTCGCGTGGCGGCATGAAGAACATCCAGCAAGCATTGTTTCTCCAGTGCATCCACGGAGATATATATAAGCTTTTCTTTGTTTTTTATTCAAACTCATCGCGCGTTATTGTCAATGTTTTAGTCGTTGGCCTGGCCTTTTTGCTTCGTTGCAACACTTTGCAGTCCAAATTGTTCAAAATCCGAATTTTCGTGAATTTTGCGCTATACTGTATTTATGGGTTGTAACGCTCTCCTACTAAAGTGTTGCGTAGTAACTATAATAGCTGCTTGAGAGATAATTTTTCTTTCCAGACATTGAGTTGCTTTAATCTAAAGAGATCTCTAACAAATAGTAGCTACTTACGAGACTTAAACCTGATAATGTAAGAGATAAGTTATGTAAACGTGCGAGGTCTTAATCTCACCCGTCCTCTCAGGGCTATATAAGAACCTGTGTAGACAAGCTTCCGCTTTTCATGAGACTGTCTTCCAACTGTCTCTAAGACTTTCAATTTTTCAATTAATCAGTTTATTCTTATACTTTCTTGTTTATTTAATTTCTCTAATAGGTGGTGTTTTCTTAATGCTTGGCTATAGTTCGGCTGATGAAGCTCTACTACGCCCTCATACGAACCTAGGCGTTCAAGATGCTGTTAGAGCTTTGCAACAATACGTTACCACTTATATCGATAATCAGGTATGTTACAAGTTTTTACATTTATAAAACATTCTACAGCTGTTTTTACGATGGAGGCATCGTTTTCTTCTCCAGGAAGTTTGGCGATCTGTACAATAATTCCATTAAGTACATACGTATATTTATATCGTCTATCTCTCTCTCTCTCTCTCTCTCTCTCTCTGAGTCAATTCAACTTTGTCCGTTTGCGAGCATGTCGCCTGTTCTTGTGAATAACGAATAGAACGAATCTTAGCAAGAATTCTTGGGTAATACCTATAGAGTAAGCGATGCAATTAGAAAACTACTAATAAATATAGTAACATAAAAACTCACAGAATAAGTTGAAAGATAATTGTTCAACTTTTAAACTTGTCGTTGATTTATAATAACATTAGCGTAACGTTCTGAGTTCGTTTTTGCGCAACAGTTGATGGTTATTAAAGTTTCATATATATATATATATATTGTTTTTATCTAACGGATATAAATTTCTTTTTTTTTTAATTTTTCAGACTCAATGCACATTAACATTATTCAATATGACTGATGAAAATATTATTATTGCTGCTCGTTTGCCGCATGATGCTAAACTAAAGGCCATTGAATCGTTGCGTAAAGAAAAGGTAAATAGTTTTTAAAAGTTTAACGTAATTTTTTTTCTTTCTTTTACTCAATAACTCCCTTGTTTCGATAGTATACGATCAGATTAGATCAGGCAGTTAAAATTTTGATTACTCCTTGAATCAGAAGAAGCTTTTTTTTAACAAAATTTTCGTTTTTTTTATTGGGGGCAATAACTTATTGGACATGTATTCGAATGCCAAAAAAAAAAAAAAAGATTGTTTCTGAAGGATGCTGAAAGATGGCAACACCGAAACTATTCCCGGCAAGAATTTTAATATCAAAAACCGATAATGGGGCGTAATCAGCGTAATCAAAAGAATATTTTTTTTTTTTTTATATTTTGGCCACGCTCTCCATATGTTAGAATTACAACATTATGCAATATTTTGAAGAAGATCTTAAGCAAACTTTTAACTCAGAGATACCCACTTTAACTATTCCGAGTTTTATGTTACGAAAAGTATGAAACAAAGAATTTTCAAATTCGTTGGATAGATCGGCCGGTTTAACTCTGCTTAACATTGCTCATCTTATGAACAACATTTTTCATTTTATTTTTCTTCTGCTTCGTCTTCTTTGTCTTCTTCTTCTTCTTCTTGTTTAGGATGAATGCACAACTATTTTAAAAACGATAACACATCATATTAATTCCGAGCATCATGAATTACAATCCCACCGACTACTAAGCATTTTTAAAATGGCTGAAGTCGAAATTGTTTGGCCAGAGAATAATGCAACTGTTGACTTAAATCGAACTATCTCCGGCAACTTACTGATATTCACATTAATCACTTTAACGTTAATAACAAGTTTCATAACACAAGTTAGCTGTTTAACGCAACCACAACAACAAGAGCAACATGAACAACAACAACATGAACAACAATATGAACAACAACAACAACAAAAACGACAACTAAAGCAGCAACAACTGTTACTTAGGCAGCAACAAGTGAGTAGACAACATTTAATAATGACAACGACATGACATAATTAGAACAATGCTTAGATATATACATAAATAGTCCCTATACATGTGTGTATATATATATATATATATATATATATATATACATATAAATATAATACAAATTTTGCAAAAACAAAGTATGCAAACATACACAGATGTAAAGTAAGCAAAATTATTAAACATAATAATAATAATAATAATAATAATAATAATGATAATTAAAAATTGAAAAGTAAGTAAGTAAGCATACCTACAATAAACGATTTATATAAATAACAGCAGCCATTAGTTACCATAAAGGAATATATATATTATGTACAGTCAAGTCAGAAACACAAGCGAACGAAAACGTGACGATAATAAAGTTGAATAATAAATTTACTGATAGTTTAGAGTAAAGTGTATATCTATATCTATATATATATACGAAAAGAGTATGAAAACCAAGTTAGCTTTATACGTAAAAAAAAAAAAATTAAGAAAAGAACTACAGAAATTACTATAAAAGAATTGTAAAATAACTCCACTCCACTGCATATATATATATATATACATATATATAACAACTATGCGCGAAATTAATTTATAATAAATACTCTGAAAAGCTTTATTTAATAACTTTCAGTTTTAATTTTTTTCATTTTTCCAATTTTTGATTTCGCATAAACTTAAATTCGTTTTTATGATAATCTCATAAACTAGAATAAATTCAAATTATAATAACTATTAATAACTATTAACTAACTAGTAAAGTGATAATCGATTTCTCTTTTGTCTTCTTCTCTTTTGTTTTTTTTTGACATTTCCAACTCAATTAATTTTATTAATTGTTTTTTAATTGTGTATAGTTTTTTTTTTGATGTAAACTTATCTGCAGAGTTAATGGAAAACAATTTAATTAAATCACTGATGAGTGAAAGTGTAATAGGACAGCGAGTAGTTCTGCCCGTTCCGGTTACAACAAATTTCAATAGGCATGCGTGGCATATATTTTCACTCTCTCTCTCTCTCTCTCTCTCTCTCTTCTTACTGCTGAATATATTCATACTAACCTAGCAAATGAACTAAAACGAAGAAGAGACGTCTTAGTATTAAACGAGACTTGATCGTATTGCGATTGATATTTATAAAGCTCTTGTAAGTCATTGTGTTTTGAATGAATTTCAACCAGGGGAAAACGCTATACAAAAGCATTTGATTCAGGTACAGTTTCGGAGAGAACATGCGGAAAATGCTTTGAAAAATTTCAATTAAATGACAGCTGCTCTGGCAACGACCCCGTCAAGATCATGTTAGAGTAAAATGCTTTTTTGCTAGCATGATTCAGCTCAACAAAGCATTTCGGAAGACTTTCGAAAATTAGGATGCGAAAAACGGGTAGAACTTTCCGGTAGGCCTAATAATAATAAGACTTATCGGTTAAAAGGATGGTCAAATCCTCTCGATCCTGTTTTTCTTTTAAATGAGACAACACAACTCATGTCAGATTGTTAAGGAGGTTAACCACTTTGGCGATGTAAAGACAAGCGTTGAATTGATAATTTTCTTAGAATGGAAGCGAATGAAATTATTAAGCATATATTTAACTTTAAAAAAAAAAAAATCTATTTTTGAAAACTATTAACAAATGGCAACACCGCAACCCTTCTCGGCAGAGACATCTTCAATTTAATTGGCTCTGCGCGGCAATCAATGTAATTGATACGAAGTGGAAACCAAAAACTAAACAAAAAAAAAAAAAAGAACAAAATCACTTAATCTATATGTCTATAGCTAGAATAATACACATGGGATTAAAGTTATTGATTTTTGCGTGATTGACTGACATTTGAGTGAAAAATATATATTTTTGACTTGCAAAAAAAGGCAATCATTTGTTAATAAATAATGCTTCAATTAACTTATCGAAAATATCGTACACATGTTTCACTAGAAAACGTCATTTTAAACGTATAATAAACGATTGCGGAAGATTGTGAAGGATTGCAAAAAAGAAGGAATAAAAATTGTTGGCGTTGTTCTGCTTGCACTTTGGATAAGGCGGTCTTTCGCCATATAGCTAGACAGCTAGACAGTTGGATAGCTGTGTGGAGAATATCAAATTTGTAGATCATTCAAGAACTTGCCACGCCCACAAATTTCTGTTCATATCATATCTGATCATTTAAGAGGCTATTAAAGCTAAAAAAAGTGATTTCTTGAAAATCGTACAGGACTTGTCAGCTTTCAACAATATTTCGATGTCCGAATGTCTTATGTATGTAATTGTGGACTTTCAAAATTCTCTGAATTCATCTCCGAAGCAATAAGGCGAATAATTTGGAAACCACTTGCATTCATTTAAATGTTTATATCTAGATCTTAAACAAATCCACAATTCCCTCTAACTAGGTAAAGATATTAAAAGTTCCTTTCTTAATAAAAGTATCTATAGAGTCTTTTAAGAGTTGCTTGCCTTAATCGTTCGCTTGATGCCTCGTTCATATCAAAATGCACTTTTAAAGAAACCAATGAAAAAAAGTTCACTTAATTGCTTCTAACGTGACCAAAGAAACTGGCACGCTTTGATTCGACAGATAGTTGAACTATATTAGGTTTTCGAAATATAACCAAAGAACTAAATGTCGGTTGAAGTGAGATCGAAAAAACATGCTAAGTTTTGCTTATATTTGGGATTATGATCCAGCATTTCGTACTTATTACTAGTGATAGTTCCGCAGTAATTGGTTAGTAATATTTTGAAACGTGTAAACAAATTAATGTCGCCGGACGTTTACTCTTTTTTTAAGAAGAGATTTATAAGAAGAATGAGAAGATATTGATATGATGAATGTATGTGTTTTCTCTATCTGCTTGTGAAGAATAAAATTTGTTATGCTATTCGTTCCTTGGACGCGTTTAAAACATTGCGACTTTTAGTTGATTTTTCCTATACATTCAAGATAAGACCCAAAACCCACCCATAGGCAGCTTGTCTTTGTTCGTCTATTTAAATGTCGCAGCAATTGATTCAGTATTACAAGTTTAGTATATTCCTTGGTTTTTTTTCCCACTGAAAACGCATTCATCTTACAGAATATAGTGTGTATAGCATGTCTACGAATCTTATTGATGTGTGCACTTGAAACTATGCTAAACTACCTACGAAATGTAAGTGAAACGCATTCCATGATTTAAACAAATTTCTAACGAAAATATTTTTTTATTGAGCCTATGGTCTTTTTTCCGATTCTCTTACGGGAAAAATTGCTTGTGTTTTCTGCTTCGTTGTATAAATTTTGGGAAAAACATTTATATGAAATGTTGAAAAGATAAAGTAACAGAAGGCGACTATAACCTTTCGATCCTTTTGCTGTCGACAAACTCTCACTCTCTTATACTTTACCATTGGTTACGTAAGTGCGAACATTTTAGCTGTGAACAAGTGCTCGTTCTCTGTTCGTTCGTAGGCTCATCATTTTTTTCAAACACGTCTACCAAAGACCTTTCCTTTTGCCCGAGCGTATAAGTTATCCTTTTATCCAGTCAAATGGAATTTAAAATTATGTTCAGGACCTAAGGCTGTAACATTTTTGCTGAAGCATATTTCAAATGATTTCACAGTTTTTGTTTTGAATCGATGGACAGATTCGATATTCGTGAAAGTTTCTATAACGTGAAGAGGAAAGTTTCACTTCGGTTTTTGCAAAAATTGATTAACATCGAGAAAATTGTTATTATTTTAAAATGTCTATACAGTAATCAGCCGTGCTTTGAGTACATACGCCGTCTTTGCTTTGCTCTTTAGTACATATGCAGTATTCACGCTAAGGCCAGCTTTCCTATTCCCTATTATAAAAACGATGTGTATATGTTAGTACAACCAAAGAGCTCTCTTCTCTTCGGAGAAAAATTTATCGATTTTTTTTAATAAAAAAAATAAAATTTTGTTCTACAAAATTTGCAATTATGTGCATAGTAGCGTAAATTTGAATCGAATATAATTTGCATAATATAAATAAAGCTCCATTACATTAATCTGAGTGCAAAAAATATGTGAACACGTTTACCGCAAACTGTTTACATAGAGATAAACACATATATACAATTTTCCCTATAAATATAAAATTTTCATAAATATCAACATTTTCCGATGAATATATATACATATATATATATATATATCTATGTAGGTATGTATGTAGGCATGGTATTCGTACATATTATGCATTTTTTTACGCTACAGAGCGATTCGCAATATTAATTAAATGAATTGTAATAAATTTAACGCTTAAAATATTAACACCGCCTCTGTCAGATTTCAATTAAAATGTATATACACGAGGCTGCGAAAATATGAAAGCACATAGACGAAATTATGCATACAGTACTCTTCCGTTAAGTGATAGGAAGCGATTTTTACTCATTTATTCATTATTAGTTCTTTAATGCTAACCAAAATCAGCTGTGTAGCAGAATAATTTTGACGCGTTAAGTTACTAAATGAAAATTTCAGATTTTCCTTTGCCTAAATACCGTATACCGTAAGCCATATAAATCGAGCGTATATAGCTCGATGTCTAGCGTAATTTACAAGTTATTGCGAACTTTTCTATTTGTTATTGAGTTGACTTACTGAGAACAGTCTTTCGTGTATAGAGCGCTGGCATGTGAACGGACATACTTTCTTGATCGATAAAATTCAGCAAGAATTTCTAACGCAACGTCAGGTATGCCACTGAATAAAACACGATCCAAAATTATTCTTATTTATAAATGCAAATACTTCTAAATTTTAAAACATATTCAATTTCATATCTTATAAAAGAGGTCAACAAGGTATAGAAATATGCATTGGTAATTTTTTTTTTTTTTTTTTTATATATACAGGACACATTTTAAAGGAATTGATCGCTTTACTCTCTTCAAAAAAATATAAAACTTTTAAGTGAAAAATACTGTATATGTATATATATGTATGTGTGCTTGTTTAATTTACGTATTTAATACATATGCATGAAAGCAGGTAAACTTCTCGGATACGACTGAGTTACAGTTTGCATAAGTGCTTGTCTGCTCA